ATACTTAATAATGAATCTTACACGGAGAAAATTTTATAGTAAATATTACTATGGTGTTGCACTAGCTGCGGACCATCGAGGAATTTTAAGTTAAATTACTATGTTTATGGTAAAAATTACGTTATTTAATCGTTTTTAAAACAATAATTATAGTATTTTAACTTGAAATTCCTCGATGGTCCGCAGCTAGTGCGACACCATAGTAATATTTACTATAAAATTTTCTCCGTGTAACGCAACTAGGATTAAATGAAAATTGTTTTTCATTCTGCGGCCTAAATCATTTTAATTATCAAATCGTGTTTAAAATCGTGTTTAAAACATCATTAATTACTAAAATGAAGATACATACTGTATCTTGTTTTACTTATTAAAAAAATGTAAACTCGATCGTTTAATAATAGAAAACTCAATGCAATGGATTTAATGCAATGCTTTGCGAATATTTATTTCAAGCGAATTTATTCCTGACAAACGAATTTATTTCGAGCTCTTTCGCTGAAGTCGCTTCCTTCTTATTTTTCTTTTGCGCGTAAATAGTTTAGCTGTTTAGCAATAGCATTCATTAACATTCGAGCTGTGTTGCATATAGGTCAGTAATTTGCCTGATAACAACTTGAATTTTTTACGACGCAGCAATTCTAACGACACGACGCAGGTGTTCATCGACCGCGGCCTGCAGACAAAATTGACATGACATTAAGAATTGTGGATAATAAAGCCAATTCTTTAAGACAGATAAATTTCTGCTTTACAACTTTTCGAAAAACATGTATATACAGTGGGGATACGTAACATTTTGATTAATAATATACTTTAAATATTTATAAAACTTGAAAATTGTATGATAAAATTTTAACGAACTTTGAAGATACTTCGATCTTTCGATTCTTAATATTTTTTGAGAAAATACTTATTTACACAAATTTTACAATACGAATAGGAAATGAATACAAATAATTCTAAAGACGCGCTAAGCAAATGAAGTAATTCAATTTTAAAATTAATCCTTGTCTCTTCAGAGACATGAGAGACGCGGCTCGAAAAACGGTATCCCGTCGTATTCCGTTTGCTTCCCGTTTTGCTACTCCTGCATATACAGTACATAATACATAGTCGTAATAGCTAGCTCGGATTCACCTGCTCTTTCGCCCGCTAATTCGTTCACACGCACTAATTGCTTCCTTCTTGATCTCCTTCGTGTCGAGTTGCCTCGCGTTGCTTCACCGAGCATGGCGTTCATACGGGGCGTTTCACAAGAGTGCTGTGTCGCCTACAGAAGGATAGTCTACGTTATAAAATATTAAAATACCTCAAAATAATTTTTCTCTTTGAATCTTCACTTATCAAAAAATGTCTCGAAAATTTTACGTAGCAAACTAGGAATCGAGAAGTCTTTCTTTTTTCGTATAATTAACAAATTGATAGCACCAGAGGATTTTGATGAGATATATCTAAAAGAAAAATAATTAATATATTAAAGTCCATAATTTTCTTCTCATCAGAGAATTTTGATGAGATATATCTAAAAAAAAAAATAATTAATATATTAAAGTAACTAGCAGATCTCAAAGCTATTATTTATCTCATCGTGTTCTTCTTCTATTCTTTTTGAAAATTTCCTTCTAAAAAGATGGCATTATTTGTTTTTTATCTTTTGCTTGTGATAGATACAAATATCATTTATTTAAACACTTTGAAAAATTAATAGAGTGATTGAGAAATATAATTCTGAATCTTAATAATCTAAATTTTAATCTTGATATGCGAGAATGGGTCTCTTATCGATTTGCAGAAGACGTTCTGTAAAATCGATCGTCTAAAAATGAATGGTTTGCAGAAAAGAGTGTCGACAATTGTTGCGTGTAAAATCACGCGACGATGTGAAGATAAAAACGGTAGAAACAAGAAAGCAAGAACGCTTTCTGCGAACGCTAAAATCGCGAACGTGCAGAATTAAAGAAAAACTGTCTCGATGGTTCTTCGTGGCTTGTTGGCCCCTGCGGCAGCTCGTTGGAGAAGAAATAAAACCGCGAAAAGGTAAAATGAGTATTGCTGCGTGATTATTAAAGAAATATATATTATTCTCTTTTTATGTATAAGATGTGTGACTTTACTGACCAGAATTCTGAACTAAAGTTAAGTAAAGAAAGGCGCCACTTAAAATAATCCCATTAATTTTGAATGAAGAACATCGAGAAACATTAACAATTAACAAACTGATTTCGTCATAATCGTTATTACCGGTTAAACTGAATCGTCGATTGGTTAAGCGCAATTGTGTCCGTTTTAATTAATGGATTTCGATCGAGCGTAAGCGACTCGCGTTTATAACACACAATTACAAATTACAAGTGTAGGCACACGCTCAAGTGTATACCACTTAAACAGATCACTGCGGTAGACCGCTGAAAGGCCCGGATCGTATTGCGTTAATTGGTTACTCGCATTAATTCAATCCGTTTCGTTTCAGAAGCCAGAACGCCGCCTGGGACAGCGTGAACGCGCCTGCCGGCCAGTTGGGATTGTCACGATATGGACCGCAGGTGATGAGCGTGCTGTGTTTATGCACCTCCAGCGTCCACCAATCCACCCGTAACGTCACGCAGACCGGCAAGATACTTCCAAGTCCGCCGTCAGACACCCTTTGCGAGCAGCGAATAACGCCCTCGCAGGAAATACCCACTGACGAGCTGGCTCTATTAGCTAAACTGGAAGAAGCCAATAGGTGAATAATCAAGTGGCCCTCGCCTATTGTTTGATACCACGGCACATCTACCGCTACATCTCCGAGTTTGCAAGAATCGAACGATTCTTGTGTCCTGCACGGACCGATAAATCGATACCTACCTAACAAACGCAGAAAGCAAAATTCTCACCCTTTCCGCTTTTCAAGATTTGTGACACAATTGGAGAGACCTCTTGCATGCACACATATTTGGATAAATAACCTGAATTTCCTTTTGTTTCAAGTTTAGAATAAAAATGTTAAATGTTAATTTTGCTACACATTTTGGCTTGGAAATGATGCACAGTAGGATGCAAAATAAGCCTGCACTTTTAACTCAAAATCGAAAAATATGGGAAAAGACGTAAGTTTCGTTTTTCTATTTC